TTTAAAAAAAAATTTAAAAAACTAGAGTTTGTATTTTGTTTCAAGGAAACATATGTAATGGTTAGATTAGGAAAAGACTCTCAGGACTTCTAGATTTGCTCTACAGTCCATAATATTATAGAGCTCAGTAACTGAACAAAATAGGAGTGAAACTTAGGTTGATATTGTGATACTTTCTCTGGCTTAATTTCGCGAGTGGAAATGAAAGTGTATGGTTCATCCTTCTTTCTCCTTTGTGCTTATTGCCCACTCTTTGTGTTATCTACGGCAGCATGACAGTGACATATCTGCTTATACTTATGAGCGCACCCTGATGATGGAGCAAAGGTCCCAGATGCTCCGGCACATGCGACTGTCCAAAACAGAGAGGGACAGAGAGGTGAGACCTTCCTGTATTCATTGAATGCTAGTCTGTCCCTGAGAGGGATGATACTATATTGTTCTCATAGAATGACACATTCTTTCCTTCTCCCTTTATCAGTTCTTTCACTATAACCACACTATTATTTGAAAATAATTGAAGCTGAAGCGTGAGAGGGAATTGGGTACAGAGGTCATAGCTGTGTTGGGCCCTTCTCAGGCACAGTTGGTGAAAGACCGGAACTCAATGCTGCGATTGACCAGCATTGGCTCTGATGAGGATGAAGAGACAGAAACCTATCAGGAGAAGGTGCACATGACTTGGACAAAAGACAAGTACATGGCATCCCGGGGACAAAAGGCTAAGTCGATGGAAGGATTCCAGGACCTGCTTAACATGCGTCCGTAAGTTTTCCAGCTCACAAGGTTATCATATAATACGGTATCCTAGTCAGTGGCACACATGTGACTTTGCCTGGTTAGACAGGATGAGGTCTGTTCTTCATTTCACCCCAAATCCAGCCGTCTCTCTGTTATTTGCCTGTGCGTATCAGCTACCAGTTAACATTGTGCATAAGCTAACCACCTTTCTCACCATACTGTGTTCCTGGCATAAAACAAGCGAACGTAGAATGAGAAAACCCAGGATATTAGTATAAGGAAATCATTTGTTCACTACATTATTCATAGTCAAAGCAAAAAAGCTCTGCATCTCAAGGTTTTTAAAGTTGACTGTATGCCTAGCTTTCTCTTTGCTTTAACCACCTCTGTTTCTCCCTTCCACCCGTCCAGAGACCATTCCAATGTGAGGCGGATGCATACGGCAGTGAAACTCAATGAGGTTATAGTTAACAAGTCCCACGAAGCAAAGCTGGTTTTGTTGAATATGCCAGGGCCACCCCGAAACCCTGAGGGTGATGAAAACTGTATCCTTTCCAAGAGTGGAGCTACCAGTAGGGAAAGTCTTAGCCTGTTTCTTAGATAAGACCACTAGGTAACCTTAAAAGTCATTAGTCTGCCCATATTTGCTTCTCAAGGAGCAAAGGCTGTTAAAAGTCTTACGCAAGGATTCTTAGCAGTGAGATTGATCTCCTTTGGGGGAGCTGGGTATATATGTTCTCTCTGAACCCTAAAGAGACTTTTTAGGTGGTACATTTGCAACATGACTTCTACTATTCACAGTATAGAATCCTTTCTGAAACAGTCCTAGAGACGCAATACCCAAATCCTTTCTCCTTTTCTCAGGCTCCTCCCACTTTGCAAAGCGTCTTTCTTGTGGATGTAGTTAGGGGAGAAGCAGTTTAAGTGAAATCTGAGGGGAAAAAAGAGATAAGGGTTTTTCCTCATACCCTGATCACAGGATTTTTTTAATGGGACCCCTTCAAGAATGCAATGGTATAGACTGTCCCATTCAAATAAGCACCATTTAAGGAAAGGGGTTAAGAAAAAAAAAAAACTGGCAGAAAAATCTGATTTGAGCAGCTTCACTTAGAAATTACTTGGGTTCTCTTGAGCAGTCTTATAAAGCTGCCCTGTTGTGGCCTTTTCTTCTTTTTTGGCTAATTTTGCTGTGGTACAAACACATTATTTGTGAGTTTCCCCCATTTGTAAAGTTACATTTAGAAAAAAATCTAACAAATGAAGGTCTTGTATTACATATACAAAGGAATTAGATCCCTGGATTATTTCACAGGGTTAAATTCAATCCAGAGTTCAGACGTCTCCAACTCTGAGTATATATAATAATGAAGACAAGCATGTTCATTTTGCAGCTTTGCAGTCAGATAAACCCCGATTATCACGTCAGGTTATAAAGTATGTTCTTCTCCCCGTTTGTCTCCTTGACAAATTCGGAAGACATGGAGTTCCTAGAAGTGCTCACCGAGGGACTAGAGCGAGTCCTCCTTGTCCGGGGTGGTGGCAGTGAAGTGATCACCATTTATTCATAATCTACTCCTGAAGACTCTGCTTGGCCTCACCTTTCCTAAAAGGCTTCCATTCTCCATGGAAGTGCCAGCTCTTTACTACTACTCCCATCAAGTAGAGGCCTGGGTTCTGTACACATCACACTGAACTCTTGACAAGCTGAGCCTCGAGTACTTGTGCAAAAAAGCACACGTAGTTCTGCTCTTTGCTATCATATGATCTGCTGTCCTTACAGAAGAAGCAGATATTTCCTCAACATCAGAACACTGGTCAAGTCCTAAAAGCCATGTCTGTACTAGTTGAAGGCAAATTAGAATTAACAGGCTAAACCATTAAAATGAGTTGGCAAAAGGGATGCTAGAAATTCAAGAAGACAAAAAGCAAGTACATGTCCAACATTAAAGGGGAGTCTCAGAAGTCATGGTCCAATGATGACACCATGGGGCTAACAGCCAGAGACACAGCTTCATCATACTAAAGAATTCATGGCCAAGTATGTGGAGACCTTACATCCTTGTGGAGATAACCTGTGGCAAACCAAGATGAAAATCTTTTTTAGCTAATTTTCTTTAATGTTTCCATTGCTCTCCAGGACTCCGTTTTATATTAGGGTACTATACAAAAACTGAAACATGGCTATAGCCTCTACTTCTTCCTCCAACACAAGATTCCCCCAAAATACCAGGTTCAAGTACACGTACTGTGTCAGTTTATATGTCTGCTGGTTCTCAAAACCCAGTCTGTGGTTAAGATTGTAATACACGCATTGTTTTATCCTGGAAATTGTTTTTTTAAAGGTGGAGTAAAAATTTCTTTCAGGTTTTCAAATGGCCAAATTAGGGTAACTCCAAATTAAGATCTACTGAAACCATCTGTGGTTACCATGTGTGACATGGTCAAAACAAGCAAGCTGTTATCCAAGAAATCTAGATGATGATGCACATTGACCAGTAGTTTCGCCTCTCCTTTCTTTTATGCCCTCCGGGTTAGTAGGCACAGGTCCAAAATCATAGGAATAAACTAGGAAGACTGGCTAAAATCCTTCCCTAAAAGCTTTGAACTATCTTTTAAAGGGGGAATCCAGCAATGGAATTCGAAGTTCTAGAGCCATACTCCTTCCATAGTGCCAAAGATTGAGTTGCTGCTACTCTCCCTACCTGCTTCACTAAAGTGGCATACGATTGGCATTGACCTGATTCAAGAAACTTATTTTTCACTAAGAAACCTGTGCACTCATTTCCAAAGCCATAGCCAAGACTTGAGGCACTCAACTCACCTAAATGCCCGGAGTATGAGCGTTTTTATCAATTTTATTCTTCATTGTGACCGCAGGAACTTGGCTCTAAACCAAGATTATCCAAGCCAACAGTCCTCTGCTATTCCAGTTGTTTTCAGAAAGCTCTCAATGTGTCAAGGAAGTACTTGTACAAGCTTAGCTTTTTATTTGCTGGTCATAAAACATTTACTGGTCATTTTAATTTACTGGTCATAAAACACCTAGCTTTCAAGCACAGGGAAACTACCTTGAGTGTTAATTTCACAAATATGTGAAATGGTCCTTTCTTTTATAAGTATTTAGAAAAACTATTTTGCCTGTATTCATGACTGCTTTTGAATCACTTTATTAATGATAAATAGTGCCACTCTTCTTTGATCACCCAATAGGATATGGAGCAAGCAAACCTAGGTCCCAGCAGATTATTCATTTGACTCTTAATGGACAGAGAAAACCCTTCAGTATGGCTTAAGAATTTGAGTATTTTGTTCCCTTTGCTTTTTTCAACCTCAAGACCCAGTCAGGGTAGCAAAGCAAAACACAATCTTTAAGTCTTTTTTCCTGCTCCTTCCTGCCCAGGGTAGAAGCATTGTTCACAATTTCCACTGTAATAATCTGTTGTTTAGTTGAGTCCACAGTAGTGGAACAGGTTCTCTAGGACCCAAGATATTGAAGCCCCCATTCTTTAAAGGTCAGCCTGCCCAGGAAATCCTCTACATTTACACACATCCTCTGGCCAAAGTGGTTGATACATATATATAGATATTTTTTTTTTCCCCACAGAGAAAAAAATATGGGCAGAAAATAAGGTTTTAGGAGAGCTTTTTGTGGTTGGAGCTCTAAGAATCTTTTAAAGGGATAAGGGAGTTCGTGGCTATTAATACAGCCACTACTTCAGCCCCTAAAACATAAAATCACTTACATGGGAAAATGGTTATTAGGCCAGATTTAAACTCCTCTCTGTCTAGAGCATTTCACGTCCATGTGTTGCTTATGTTGTTCGTCTGTGAAGTGTCTTGTCTCTTCTAATCACTGCAAATAAAGCAATACTGAAAACTTGGTAAGAGAGAATGCACCTTAGGGGAAGGGCTTTTGTGTTTCAAGAAGGAAGAGAAAGGAAAGACCGCTTCCTGCCTTCTGAATAAGATCCAGCTTTTAAGTCTTAGCTAAGATTTACCAGGGCAGGTTATGACAATATACATTCTCCAGTTGCTGGCCTTCTGCCTTGTAAAGCTATCTTAAAAGCTGAGGTTTGAATTGCAGCATCTGCTCCACAGGTGCCTGGTTCCTCTTGGCAGGGGAAAGATCATTACCGTGTATTTTCCTTTGCCTCAGATTCCTGTGGCCCCAACTAGCCCGCCAGTCCTCACTCCCCCTAAATGTGTTAAAAATCCATTATTGTAGATGTTAAAGTAGCAGTTACAACACTGTAAGCATATTTATGTGCTCTTTTTGTCTGGTTTATTTTTCTTTTCATCATGTATAATCTGAATCCAGCATTAGTTTCTCACATCTTCCACAGTGTCTCCAACAGAATTTTTATGTTCCAGCTTGTGTTAAATAGAAATGAAAGAGTTAAGGGAAACTTGTGCAACTTTTTTTTTTTAAGCATTGTTCTCAACCATTTAATTTATTGAAAGGAGATGCTGCTGTGGTTCTTGATTTAGCAGCAACCATTCTTTTGTTTACATAGAGTTACAGTTTTATTTGTTGTTTTGCTCTGTACTGGAAACATAAATAAAGTTTTCTACATTATTTTCAATCAAGGGTTGTGGTTTAGTTTCTTTGTGTGTTTGGAGTGATACATACATTGTCTTTCTGGGATTCGTCTCCTTACCATGGAGTAAAGAGAGCTTTGGGTTCTTTTCAGCATGAGTGATAACGTTAAGAAATTAGTATGCTGAGAAGGAGCCACTGGGCACAAAAAGAAGGTTGTAAATGAGATCCCAATACATAGGCACCAGGTGCTTCTTTCTCCTCTTCACAGAAGCAATCCTCCACCACTAAACTCCATCCTCTGAAACAAGAAAAGGTAAATAGGTGATTGGTGAATTGGTGTTGAACTTATGGAATCAAGTACTTTATTTAATCACTGGCTCTATTTAGCTTTACCCTTAAAAAAGTAACAACTTCCAAACTCCCAAGGGATCTTATTTCTTAAAAATAAGCTCTAGTACTAACTCAAATCCCCCACCATCAAATGGGTCTGCTATTTACGTTACAACTGCCCAAAATTTAACTTTTCCTTTGCCTTACCTCAGGGGGCTCAATGAAGGCTAACCAGTCTGATGCATGTGTAGGCAACAGTCCCATTGACTGGCACTTATAAACAGCCAATGCCAAACCCATGAGGTTTCCAATGAGATACACTAAACCCTGAAGAAACTTCTGGCTTGAACTTTCTAGCATCTTGAAAGCTGTTGGGGTAACAAAAAGTGTCAAAACCAAAACAACTTTTTTTTTAATATCAGGCCACACTTTAAAATAATATAGAGACACCCAAAGTAAAATAGCAAATAGGACCATTAAAAGTGAACAAAAAGCCATGATAAGCTCCATTTCCCTCCTCCACGCCACCATCTCTACCATCACCACCCTGTACACCCTCCCCCTAGCAACTAGCCAAGAGCAGTACTAAAGATTTTCATGGGTTTCGCTAAAATTTGTCTTTTAATTCTTAAAACTTAAGGAAGGGTTGTTGTATCAAGAATACTTACTGGCTGAAATGGCCATAAGTGCCTGAATGGGCCGCCAAGCCATCATACACACCATCATAGTAGGGAAGATGGAGATTGTATTGCCTGCCATGTACATGATGAAGAGGTTCATGGGAATCTGCTTGAGGGGACCCAAGGCGATGTCCCAGCAGCGCTAAAACAAACACAATTTTAACCTATGATCTCTATCCTCAGTCCCACATTTATCGGATCGCTGATGTTAAAGTCAAATGAACACAATTCCCAATTCTGTGCTCCTGACTGAGCTGACTCCTCAGTTCCATCACTTCTGTCTGCCCTTCTCCATGTTGCCACAGGAAGCTTGCTCTTCTAAAAATAAGGCATCCTCACCATTCATGTTTTTTCCTACTCGTTTTCCAGATACCATTTCCCCCCATGATTTGGCTAAAGAAAAAAAGACTTCCCTACTTTTGTTCTTGTACTTCTGCATCTCTCATTGCCCCATCTACAACTGAAATAGGTAAATCCAGAGGGTGGGAGATTAGCACACCTCAATAACTAAAAGAACAAGATGACAAATCAAAATATTAAGATCTAAATGACATTATTAACTGACAGACATAGAACACTGCACCCAACATTTGGAGAATTCACATTCTTTTCAAACACACATGGGACACTTAAAAAAGCTGACCACTTGCTGAGCCTTGAAGAAAGTGTCAACTCAACCCAAATCATACAAAGCATGTTCTTTGCTTATGATGCAATTAAGCTAGAAATCAGTAACAAAAAGAAAACTAAAAATTCCCTACATACTGGAATTAACATGCCTTCTAAATCCATAAATAGAAATTACAATGGAAAACAAATATTGTTAACTGATAACAATAACAAAAATGCCACATATTACCCTTGTGGGACACAGAGCACTGAAAAATGTATAATACATATTTAGAAGACTAAAAATAAAGCATCTGGGGCGCCTATGTGGCTCAGTCAGTTAGGCGTCTGCCTTCGGCTCAGGTCCTGATCCCAGCGTCCTGGGTTAGAGCCCCGCATCAGGCTCCCTGCTCAGCGGGGAGCCAGCTTTTTCCTCTGCCTCTGCCTGCCTATCTGCCTACCTGTGATCTCTCTCTCTGTCAAATAAATAAATAAAATCTTATAAAAAAAATAAAGTAAGCATCTATTTCTTTTTTACAATTTTTTTTAAGTTTTAATTCCAGTTAACATACAGTGTAGTATTAGTTTCAGGTACAATATAATGACTCAACACTTCCATACAAGCTCATCACAAGTGCCCTCCTTAATCCCCATCAGCTCTTTCACCCATCCCCCCACCCACCTCCTGTCTGGTAACCATCAGTTTGTTCTCTAATGGTTAAGCGTCTGTTTCTTGGTTTGCCCTCCCCTTTTTTTTTCCCCTTTGCTCATTTGTTTCTTAAATTTCATATATGAGTGAAATCATATGGTATTCGTCTTTCTCTGATGTACTTCACTTAGAATTATACCCTCTAGCTCCATCCATGTCATTCTCAGCATCTATTTCAATAAGTTAGAAAAAGAAATAGATTAAACCCAAGGAAATGAAAAGGAAAAATGAGAAAAGAAATTAATGAATTTTTCTTCAAATCAACAAGGCTAAAGGTGTTTTTTTTTTTTAAAGATTTTATTTATTTATTCGAGAGAGAGAAAGAGCATATGGGGGGGGAGGGTCCGAGGGAGAAGCAGACTCCCCGCTGAGTGGGGAGCCCGATGCAGGACTCAATCCTGGGACTCCAGGATCATGACCTGAGCAGAAGGCAGTCACTTTAACCAACTGAGCCACCCAGGCGCCCTAAAGGTGTTTTCTTTTAAAGATTGATAACATCAATACTGGTGAGCCTGATGAAGGAAAAAGAGAAATACTCAACATTGGGAATAAAAGAGGGACAACTCTATAGTTCTTGCAGCGTATTAAAACGATCATATGGGCGCCCAGGTGGCTCAGTTGGATAAGCATCTGCCTTTGGCTCAGGTCATGATCCCAGGGTCCTGGGATCGAGTCCCGCCTCAGGTTCCCTGCTCAGCGGGAAGCCTGCTTCTCCCTCTGCTCCTCCCCCTGCTCATCATCTCTCTTTCTCTCTCTCTCTCTCTAATAAATAAAATCTTAAAGTGATCATATTACAGGGGCGCCTGGGTGGCTCAGCTGTTAAGCATCTGCCTTCGGCTCAGGTCATGATCCCAGGGTCCTGGGATCGAGCCCCACATCGGGCTCTCTGCTCCGCGGGAAGCCTGCTTCTCCCTCTCCCACTCCCCCTGCTTGTGTTCCTGCTCTCACTGTCTCTCTCTCTTCAAATAAATAAAATCTTTAAAAAAAAAAAAGTGACCATATTACAAATTTGGGGAAATGGATAAATTCCTAGAAGAAATACCTAACAGCATAATAAATTGAAAATTTAGTCATAAAACTGTTTAAGAAACTGAATCTGTAATTAAGCCCAGATGGTTTCTCTTGGCAAATTCTAAACATTTAAGGAAAAAAAAAAGCCAATCTTATACAAATTCTTTCAGAAAATAAAAAATGAACATTCATTACATGGGGCCCCATAAATACCAAAACCTAACAAGGACATTATGAGTAAAGTTGATAGATCAATACCACTCCTGAACCTAAATGCAAAAATCCTACTGAACAAAATATTAACAAAGTAAACCTAGCAATATTAGAAGAATATATCACCATCCGTTTGAGCTTATTCAAGTTAAAAGAATAAATGGACATATTTGTAAGCAATTCCCTGGTGTGTCACTTACAGAAAAGATCATTTATCTGGGACTTTAAAGATCAAACCATCCATACAACAGAACTGTTCTAAAGTAAGTATAATAATCTACCTTCAAAATCAGGCCATTTTAATAATACTTTCATGTTATTGTTCATATTACTATTTGATGTACCAAGATAAAAAAGATATACTTATCAAGAAAAGCACTGATACCAGCTGTCATTTTTATGTAAAAATCACTGCATTTCATGAAATAAAGATCATTTAGTACTGAACAATATTAAGGCTAGGAGGAAAGAAAATGCCAGCTACTGTTCTAGGTACTTGGGACACAACATCTGCTTTCCTGGACCTCACAAGAGTAAAAAGACAGGTCATAACCATATCATGTATATGAATGATATGGAGAAATACAGGAAGTAGGAAAACAGGATAGGGGGTGCCCTGAGTAGGTTTCTCTAAGAAGGTAATATCTGAGAGACCTAAGGGAAATGAGAGAGCAAGTCATACAGGTACCTGGGGGGAGAGTATTCCAGGAAGAGGGAAAGAACATGTACAAAAAGTCCGAGACGGAAGCCCGCCTGCTATTTGCAAGGAGCAGCAAGGAGGCCATTCTGACTAGAGTGGAATGAAGAACAAAGGGGAAAGTGGCAGGAGATGAAATCACTCAGACTAGAATGATAGGTAAGATAAGAAGAAGTGATAAGTAGCAAAAATTTAAATCTGTTTTGAAGATAAAGCCAAAAGAATATCCTGACACATTGGTTGTGTGGTTGTAAGGGAACTAGGGTAAAAGGATGACTTCAACCATTAGGCACCAGCACCAAGAGATAATTTTCAACCTACCTTCTTACATGTTCACAAACATCTTTTATTTTTCCAACTATTAAGCACTTTTACTACTGTAAATTAATCTCAAGCAGTTTACCAATATTAGGGATAAGACTCCTACAGTCGGATATTCATATGCTGCTTGGGAGAGAAGGGTGATGTGTAGGTCAGGACTGGCCTAAGAACTACCGTGACATCTATACCTCTGTACCTTCTCCACCAGGATCCGGTCGGTCTCTTGCACGCTGGTATCAGGCACTTGCTTGTCCAAGTAACCGACAGGGTACAGCGAGTCTCCCTGGCCACCGCCCCGGTCACTTCGGCTCCTAAAGAACCAAACCAAGAAACTAAGGCTGCAGCCCCCCACACTTCATATCCCACATTCCTGTTCTAATCATTGGAATAAAGATCCTCAGATACACCTACCCAGATTACACCAAGCCCTCTCGTGGGTTCGTCAGACTTTTGTCTATTGTGAGGAATGAAATAAGCATCTTTTGAACATTAGAAACGTCCACCGTAGAGAAGCCGCTGGCTCCCCGGGAGCCGTCTTTGTGCCACCTATCGTTTTCAGAGAGTTGTATCTCAGAGATCAGGTCCTATTCCTCCGCGGTAATTCTGGGGTGAAGGCTCTTGTTACCGAGCTTCGCCCGGGCTCCTCACCTGCTGCCTCCTCCAGGCCCGCTCAGCTCAATGGCCCACTTGAAGCGCCGGCCTCGGTTGGCCACCAGGCTCCCCTGTGCCGTCATGGACACGGCCGCCTACCAAAGCTGCGAAGCTCCTTACTCTAAAGCGGGGCCCGGACGCAGGCCCACTGACACCCGCTACTTTTTGGTCTTACTCTGCAAGCCCGCTTCCGGCGCGTAGCATAGACGTCACTTCCACCCCGGAAATTTGCGAGCGGAGGATGAGATACTACTTGGAGCTGGAGAAGCTGGGGGCAGGGAATACCCGACCGTACTTAGCTTCCTCCTTTTTGAAGATTCCTGTTGTGTGCTCCCTGACCTCTGAGGTGCGCTTGCGGGACAGAGGGAAAGTTCATACTCACTCTGGGTCAGGAATTGAAGCCAGGGACACCTTCTTGAGCTCCGGCGCGCTCCCCTGAACACAAGATTCCAAATCCCGTCTAAACCTGGTTTCACCACGGGTTTGTGTGTGATCTTGAGCAAGTTATTTAGTAGCTTCCGAGTACAGAATGTCTGCCATGTCCCAGGAGCTTTGTGTTTATTATTTAAGTCACATTAATCCTGCGAGGTAAATAGTTCAATGCCCATTCTGCCCCAAAACTAGGAAGCAGTGTGGACGTGGGAAGGCTCATGGGTTTGAGATTCAGATGGCCTCCTTTTGAATCGTGGCTTCTTTACTTAATTGTGTGACTTTGGACACGTTAAATATTTAGTGCTTCCACCTCTTCATATGTAGAAGTTTATCTGTTTTCAAGGTTTGTGAGGTTAAATGGAGTGCCCGCCACCCATGCATGATTTTTTTATTATTATTATTTTAAAAAGCACACTAGTGGGGCGCCTGGGTGGCTCAGTTGGTTAAGCCTCTGCCTTTCCCCACAGGTCTTGATCTCAGGTCCTGGGATGGAGCCCCCTGCTGGGCTCCCTGCTCAGTGGGGAGTCTGCTGCTCCCTCTCCCTCTGCCCCTCTCCATCCCCCGCTCGTGTTCTGTCGCTCACGCACGCTCTCTCAAACAAATAAATAAAATGCTTTTTTTTTAAAAGGCACACTAGTGATCGGATTTTGTATTGAGTTGTATATCTATATAATAATATAACGTGTTATTGGGTATTTGTTTTTCGTTTTCCCCCCTTTTATAAAGTGTTATAAACAGTGTATCTTTTCTTATTTCCTTAAGTTAAATTCCTAGAAGTGCAGTTGCTGGATCTAAGACTATGCACATTTTAAAGGAATTTTAAATGCCCGCTAGCAAAATCGCACCTTTTTGCATTTCGCCAGCTTTGTAATACTTTTAAATTGGCGCTTTGAAAATGGCACTGTATTTTCAAACCCTTATTCCTTTGACCCCAAGTTATTTGATATGGTCGGGGTGGGGGTGAGGGAAGAGGAGTGCTGTGAGAATGTGGTTGGGAGGTAGGGTTGAAAAGGGCCAATTAAAGAGTTTGGACCCTTGAAGATGATGGTGATCTGGAGCCGCTGAAGTTTCCACCCCCACTTTATTTCCTGATTTGAAAGATATTTTGTGTTCATAGCAGACTGTTTGAATAAGGCAGTAATGGAAAAGGCTTTTCCCCTTCCAGTTCATTCTAAAATGTTTATTTATCTGATCATAGGAAGACGGAAATTGTGGATTGCTTTCCTGCTTCTTTCTACTTTTCTGCCTTTATCTGTTGTCTCTGATGAAACTTTGAGGTTGATCTCAGACTTCACAAGGGTCTTGACCCTATTGGTCAATCTTTGTCCCAGTGAAATCTGCAGTCCTTACCACATTGCGTTTGTGTTTGTTGACCTCCTCTGAGCACGTATCTACCTCCTCTCACTGCACTCTGCCCTAAATTCCTTGATGTTAGGAACTACATGTTAATTATATTTGATTCCACTGCCTAAAACATAATGTATTGAACGTTTAGTGAATGTGAGTAAATTAATTGAAAGTAAATATAATACAGAACTGAATATACTATAATTACATTTATATGAAAAAATGTAAAAACTAGAATACATTTTAGAATGTTATATGTTATATCAAATTAATGGTTTTCATGCAGTTTTTTTGATGTTCAAGCTATTGTTCTGCTTCTTAAATAAATTGTAAGGGAACACTTTTGAAAAGGTTGTCAGTCATTCAAATCATATATTCCTTCCCTTTTAAAGTACTCCCCCACTTACTACAAAAATGTTTCAACTGTAACCCAAATCAAGGTTGCTTTGGCCTCAGGTTAGTGCAGGTCCTTTTTCCTTTATCCTAGGAGTCCTGAGTGTTGGTTGCTAAAACATGTTCCAAAGAACATGAAGACTGGGGCGCCTGGTTGGCTCAGTTGGTTAAGCGACTGCCTTCGGCTCAGGTCATGATCCTGGAGTCCCGGGATCGAGTCCCGCATCGGGCTCCCTGCTCAGCAGGGAGTCTGCTTCTCCCTCTGACCCTCTTCCCTCTCGTGCTCTCTATCTCTCATTCTCTCTCTCTCAAATAAATAAAAAAATCTTTAAAAAAAAAGTTTAAAAAAAAAACATGAAGACTGAGGTGAAAATTGGAACTGAACTGAAGAAGGATTCCAGGGTCAAACACATTTGAGAAAAACTACAGATGCTCTTCTGCACACACATCTTAGAGATTCTCAGTGGGATTAGTATAACATTAAAACAATGAGAAATGATTCAATAAAGAATCTCCTTTAATTCTGCTTCCCATTCACCTAAATAAGAAGCTCCCCCCACTTTTATTTTCCCTTATCACAGCTATAAACTTCCTATGGAGTCAGTGTTCCATAGAATACGATGAAGGCAACTTTCTTCAAGCATGCTAGAATTTTTCAGGAGAAAGATGAATGTAGTCCTTGAAAAGCTCTGCTTGGTTTTGTTTTGTTTTTTTTTAAGATTATTAGAATATCATAAGAAATAATAGATCCTTTATAAAAATAGAGTTTCAAGTTGAAATTAAACTCGAGGATTCAAGTTGTTTTTTTGTTTATTTGTTTTTTACAAATTATGTTTTTCAAGAAAAATCAAGGGAAACCTAGATTCTAATCCTGACTCCAAATGAACTACCTGTGTCACTTTGAGTTAGGAACTCTTGGCCTTAATTTCTTCATCTATAAAATAAGAGACTTCTACTAAATGACTTCTAAAGTTACCTTCTAATTCTAAAATATATTTTTAAAAACATTTTGCATATTACTCTTTCGTATATATTCATAGAAAAAATGATAAACACATAAAGGAGTAATGGGATTTCAGATAATTTTTTTTTAATTGTGCTTTCCTGGGGCGCCTGGGTGACTCAGTCGTTAAGCGTCTGCCTTCGGCTCAGGTCATGATCCCAGGGTCCTGGGATCGAGTCCCGCATCGGGCTCCCTGCTCTGCGGGAAGCCTGCTTCTCCCTCTCCCACTCCCCCTGCTTGTGTTCCTTCTCTGGCTGTCTCTCTCTCTGTCAAATAAATAAAATCTTTAAAAAAAAATTGTGCTTTTCCATATTTTTCCTAGTTCTCTGCATTGTGCAGGTACCACTTTTGGATTTAGAAAAAATTATAAAATGTTAGTAATATAACATGACGTGTTTCCAAACCTCAAAGCATAATTGTTCTCTGTCCTGGATTCACAGGAGAATCACCTTGGAAGCTCTTTCAAAATACTAAATGATACCTGGGTCACACTCCAGAGATTCTAATTCATTTGCTTAGGGTAGAACATGGGCATCTACTGTGCAGCAAGAACTAAGAACCACTGACCAGAGCATTTTGCTGCTCTAAAAGGTTTGAACTTACACAAAGTAATCTAAGCAAACAATCAGCAGTTTGGGGCAGCCTCCTTGCATGCCTGCCACTGGACTAAACTTGAATTAGACAGTAATGGAAATACTCAACTTGTAAAAATAAATGTTAAACTTCCCTTTGTGCCTTTGAGCAAATATGATTTTAATTAAAGAAACTGAGAAGGCACACCATGATTCCATAGGTCGTGTGAGTTGCCTCATCTGACTTTTATATTTCAGCCATCTACACAGTTTTTGTCTTTGTTTTTGAATCTCACCCCCCACCATTTTAGGGGTCTAAGAAGCTGACTATTTCTAATACTTCATGCCGTTTGCTGAGCAGTTGCATTTGGATTGAAACTTGAAAAAGGAAATTTTATTTATTTACTTTTTTAAAAAATTTAAGTAGGCTCTATGCCCAATGTGGGGCTCAAACTCACCATCTGGAGATCAAGAGTCATGTGCTCTACTGACTGAGCCAGCCAGGTGCCCTGAAAAAGGAAACTTTCTATTCAAACAACCAGATTTGCAAGAATGGATCTCTCTAAAGGGGTGGAGGGAAGCTTTTATAGATAGTGTCTTATATTTTGGTCTATGCCATTTAACATTGTCTCTATAATAGTTCTGCTCTCCTCCACGGTCCAACCAGTTCCTCCAGTATGCTCTAAAAGGTCCTGTGACTTTTGGTAGCTTCTGTAAAATGGGTTTCCATTGCAAATCCCCAGTTATTTGTGTTATTTGACTCTAGTATCATCACTGCCTTCTGAAAAGGGCCACCTTACACTACTTTATTCAAGATGCAATTTATTCTGTGTTAATAAGTGTTTTAACAAGAGGAAACTTTTCCCCTCCATTTTGTCTGTTTGAAATTTCAAACCCCTTCAGGGAAAAAACAAGTTTAGGTCTTTCTTTCTTTCTTTTTTTTTTTTTTTGTAAGATACTACCTTCTGAGTTAGTGCTCAATTTCTGCATCATTTCTATGTGGATTACTTTTTTAAAAAATTTCTGGTTTACGGCTCTGCAGTGTCATGAAATGCCCCTGTCAGCAGTGACATGAACTAGACAGTGCTGGAAGAAAATGTTAGTTAGTAATACCATTCTTCCTTAGCAATTACCTTTTTTTCCATTTCAGGAGAGCTGTTGTGCAATTCACATTTTAACAAGTTCCCATTATAGCACATCCCTCCAGCACTTGCTTAGGAAACTGGGAGG